CATCCAGCAAACATCCAGCAAACATCCAGCAAACATCCAACAAACATCCAACAAACATCCAGCAAACATCCAGCAAACATCCAGCAAACATCCAGCAACATCCAACAAACATCCGGCAAACATCCGGCAAACATCCAACAAACATCCCACAAACATCCGGCAAACATCCAACAAACATCCAACAAACATCCAACAAACATACAACAAACATCCCACAAACATCCGGCAAACATCCAACAAACATCCAACAAACATCCAACAAACATACAACAAACATCCAACACACATCCAACAAACATCCAGCAAACATCCAACAAACATCCTACACACATCCAACAAACATCCGGCAAACATCCAACAAACATCCAACAAACATCCAACAAACATCCTACACACATCCAACAAACATCCGGCAAACATCCAACAAACATCCAACAAACATCCGGCAAACATCCAACAAACATCCGGCAAACATCCGGCAAACATCAGGCAAACATCCAACAAACATCCAACACACATCCAACAAACATCCAACAAACATACAACAAACATCCCTCAAACATCCGGCAAACATCCAACAAACATCCAACAAACATCCAACAAACATACAACAAACATCCAACAAACATCCAACACACATCCAACAAACATCCGGCAAACATCCAACAAACATCCTACACACATCCAACAAACATCCAACAAACATCCGGCAAACATTCGGCAAACATCCAACAAACATCCAACAAACATCCAACAAACATCCTACACACATCCAACAAACATCCGGCAAACAAACATCCAACAAACATCCAACAAACATCCGGCAAACATCCAACAAACATCCGGCAAACATCCGGCAAACATCAGGCAAACATCCAACAAACATCCGGCAAACATCCAACAAACATCCTACACACATCCAACAAACATCCGGCAAACAAACATCCAACAAACATCCAACAAACATCCGGCAAACATCCAACAAACATCCGGCAAACATCCGGCAAACATCAGGCAAACATCCAACAAACATCCGGCAAACATCCAACAAACATCCTACACACATCCAACAAACATCCGGCAAACAAACATCCAACAAACATCTTCTTCTTCTTCTTCTTGTAGAGTTTTATGGCGGTTGGCAACAAACTGTTAGTAGCATTACCGCCACTTACTGGTATGGAGTGTGGTTCGTGATGGTTTAAATATTTATCCTGATACATTCTACCCTAACTTCTTCTTAACATACATTCACACATTCACACTTAAAAATATATACATATTTGTGCACAGCTTTGTATATCATTCCTTCACTCACAAACACACTTACTATAATTAAATTCTATGAAATAATTTGGTTTTCTTTAGAAATCGAATAATTATTTGTATGTTTACTCCCTAGATTTTTCCTCAGTATATCTAATAAATTAACCTTCTCCTTAATATCTTCAAACTCTCTCCTCATATATCTTCTCTCTTTTTCATATTTATGACATTCTAATATAACATGTTCTATAGTTTCATATTTATCACAGAAATCACATTTGCCCGTTTTATGTTTTTGTATTTTAAAAAGTGTATAATTAAGTCCTATATGACCAAATCTTAACCTTGTTATCACTCTATCCTTTCTATTTCTTCTTCCATTTCTTCTTTCTCCTACCATCTTCTGAATTTTATAAAACCATCTTCCTGTTTTATCTTCATCCCACCTTTTTTGCCAAATTTCCATAAGTTTCTCTTTAATAATACTCTTTCCTTCTGATTTACTTATTTTAACTATAAAACTAATAGAATGTTTAATTGCCCTTTTTGCCATTTTATCTGCCCTCTCGTTTCCTTTTACCCCAATATGTGCTGGAACCCACACAAATGTAACTATCAGCCCCATGTTTCGTATTCTGAACAGTGTATGATTTATTTCTAATAAAATGTCCATCCTACTGTCTGTTTGGTTATTTTTTAAACTTAACAATGCAGAGCTTGAATCTGAACATATTATTGTTTTTAATGGTTTTATGTCTTCTACCCATTGTAACGCTAATAATATTGCCAACATTTCTCCTGTGTATACTGATAATCCATCTGTAATTTGTTTTCCTATTTTTATATTGAATTCTGGTACTACAAATGCTATTCCTAGTTTCTCAGTTATTTTTGATGCATCAGTATAAATTTGAATATATTGATAATATTTATCTAAATATAATTGCACTGAACATCTATCTACATCACTTGATTTATCTTGTTTCTTTTCCATTAGTGACATATCTACTGTTGCTTCTGGTAGAATCCAGGGAGGTATAATTGATATTGGTGTTGTTTGACTCATTTCTAAACTATTCATTTTTAAGTTTTTTTATTTTATTTTCAATTGTCCATCCAAAACTCCTCATTTCTTTCTTTTCTTTTTCCCAGCATGGATTTAAAATGTCCAAAGTTGGGTGATCCACATTATTTCCTTGTAAATTTAACCAGTAATTAATTTCTAATTTTGTTCTTCTTAAATCTAATGGCATTTCTCCCATTTCTATTTCTAATGCTGCTGTTGGTGTGGTTTTAAATGCTCCAGTACATAATCTTAGTGCCTGATGTTGGATAATGTCTAATTTGGTTAGATGTGTTTTAGCTGCTGAACCGTACACTAAACAACCAAAGTATATGTTGGATCTTATCATACTTGTGTAAATCTGTTTTAGTGATTTTCTATCTGCTCCCCAGTCACTGCCAGCCAAACATCTCAAAATATTCAAAATTTTCTTACATTTATCAACAACTTTTTGTATATGTATATGCCATTTTAATTTTTCATCAAACCATAATCCTAAAAATTTTATACACTTTACCTGCTCTAACTCTTGTTTATATAATTTAAATTTTATTTCCTTGTTTATTTTTTTCTGAGTAAATAACATTACTTTCGTTTTATCAACTGAGAACTTAAATCCCCATTGCAACGCCCATTTCTCTATTTCAATAATAACCTTTTGTAATTTTTTTATAATAAAATCAACATTTTTCCCTCGTTTCCAAACAGCTCCATCATCTGCAAATAGTGAACACCCCATGTCTTTTTCAATATCTTTAAATACATCATTTATCATAATTGAGAACAATAGTGGACTTATAATACTACCCTGCGGAGTTCCATTTTCTACTATATATTTTCCTGTGGTAGATTCTCCTATTCTAACTTGTATTTTCCTACCTGTTAAAAAGTCTTTAATCCATTTAAATATTCTCCCTTTAATACCAAACTTGTATAATTTAATTAATAATCCATCCACCCACATCATGTCATATGCCTTTTCTATATCAAAGAATACAGCCACTACACTTTCTTTATTTACTTGTGCTCTTCTAATTTCGTGCTCTAAACAGAGCGTTGGATCGTTAGTGCTCCTCCCTTTTCAAAAACCACTTTGATATTTTGATATATATCCTTTACTATTTAGATAATATACTAGTCTATTATTAATCATTTTTCCATTATTTTACATAAATTAGATGTTAAGGCTATTGGTCTGTAGTTTTCTGGGTTTGAATGATCTTTTCCTGGTTTGGCTATTGGTATTATAATTGATTCCTTCCAGTTCAACGGTAATTTTCCCTCCTCCCAAATTTTATTATATAGTTGTAATATTATATCTTTAGATTTTTCACTAAGTTGCCCTATCATTCTATACCAGATTTGGTCTTTACCTGGTGCTGTGTTTTTTGTCTTTTTAAGTGCATTGTTCAATTCCATTTTTGTAAACTCAACATTTAACAAATTATTTGTTTCTTCAACGCTCTGTATAAAATCATTATTATTATTTAATTTTTGTATTTTCTCTACCTTTTCTTCCATTTTCACTAATATTATTTGAACTATGAATTTTACTAAACGTTCTTGCCAATATTTCAACTTTATCTTCATCTCTTATTATCTTTGTATCATCTATTTTTAGTACAGGATAGTCAAACTCTCTTTTTATACCATTCATTATTTTGATTACCTTCCAAATTTTCTCTATTTTTGTTTCTTTCCCTATCGTATTACAAATTTTTTTCCAATATTCTCTTTTTGCATTCTTTATAGTTCTCCTTACTATTGCTTGTTTTCTTTTATAATCAATTAAATTTTTATAAATTGGATTATGTTTGAGTGTCTTAAATGCTTTATTTCTTAACTTTATTGCTTCTTTACACACATTTGTCCACCATGGAACCATTTTCTTATCATTCTTACTCCCTGATCTCTTTATAGAATTATCTGCTGCTTCCATTATTATTTTACCAATTATTAAATTTAAATCATTTATATCCATACTCATGTCTACTTTTTCTAAGTTTATTTGACTCAAATATCTAAATTTAGTCCAGTCAGCCTTATTAAAATTATACTTTTTCCCAATTTTTATATTCCTATTATTTAAATTTAGCCCTACTCTTACTATTATGGGTAATGATCGCTACCTATTGTAGATTTTTTTATCAATGAACCAATCACAACTACCAGCTAAAACATTTGAGACAATTGTTAAATCAATAACTGATTCCATCCCCGTTCTTATATTGATTCTTGTTCCCTTTCCATCATTAATACATACTAGATTTTTTATTTCCATTATTTCTTCTATAACTTGTCCGTTACCAACAAACATCCGACAAACATCCAACAAACATTCAACAAACATCCAGTAAACATCCAGCAAACATCCAACAAACATCCAACAAACATCCAACAAACATCCAACAAACATCCAGCAAACATCCAGCAAACATCCAACAAACATCCAACAAACATCCAGCGCTTTTGAATCTGAGGTTTAAAGACTTTTATTGTGAAAAGCTCTACCTGCTGAGGCGGAAGTCAGATCAACATAACCAGCTTGATGCTTCAGGCTGAGCCTTTTCCCGAGAGTCACATGGAGGTGAAGGGAGGTGCTGAGAATAAAAGCTCCTCCTCCTCCTCCTCCTCCTCCTCCTCCGTTTCATTGGGATCCAGATCCAGTCCAGAGCGGCTGCTGCTGTGATTTCTCCTTAATCAATCCTAATTGATTAAAGGCTGCAGGTGAGAGGCTGGTTCATTAGAAGCTGCTGCGCTCTGCTGACTCAGCAGCTTTTCCTGCCGGTTTTTTGTTTTTGAAGCGTCACACTTTGATTGGAGCCTAAACACGAGTTAAAGGTTTGATGTTGAAATCCGGTTTGTTTACCTCTAGTTATTTAATTAGAAGATAGAAATGAAGCGGATAAAGTTAAGTATGGAATTCACAGAAAGCGGAACTGAAAGCAAAGAAGAAAGTCTTTTTATTCTGAGGAACCATCAGCTGGAGGTTCTTCTAATGAAGGTTCTGTTGGATCTCTCCAGATGGCGCAGTGGCAGGAGCTGCTGAAGTTGGACTCTGCGCTGCAGAAGCGGGTGATGCGTCTGTATGAAGGAAAGTTCCCCACTGAGGTCCGACACTCGCTGAGCCACTGGATAGAGAGCCAGGACTGGTAAGATGACTCGGTTCTGTTGGGTTCTACTGGGTTCTACTGGGTTTGGTTCATTAAAACTTGCGACCGTCCCTCAGACCGGAGCTGCCTTTCCTGAGCTGGCACCTGGTTGCTGTGGAAACGCTGCTCTGTGCTCTGCACAGCTGAAGCTGGTTGAACCGGTTTATAGATCTATTACACGCAGAGCAGACATTTCAAGCCTTCCTATGATTTCCGGATCATGAAAACCAGAATTGTCAGAAATCCTCCTTACAGCTCAGCAGATGTTTGGTTCCATCGATGCAGGAATTGAGGGCAGAGATGGATCATTTCTGACCTTCATCCATGAATATCTCAATGATCTGAGGTCATTTCCTGTAAACTAGAATCACCAAATTAAGAAGGAATCAAACCCTGAAGATTATTTTTTTCTGAATTTGATTTTTAAGCAACAAAAACAAACTTTTTGACTATATGAACATTTTCTGAGTCAGACCTGCATAACCTGCCAAAGGCCACCAGGGGGCGCCCTGGTTTAGATGACCAAGCATGACAAAGCGCTTGTATATTGATTGAGTGGAGAATAATTTGAAGCCTCCTGCTGTTTGGAGAAGCACCTTCAGCTGCAGGTCCTCTGAAGGTCCTTCCTGTTGATCTTTACTGAGCTGCAGGTTCTGACATGTCGACCCAAAACCCGACCAGATTGCAGCAGGTTAGAGGATCTGGATTCAGAGCTTAAAGGAATAGTACACCCAAAACATGATTAGCCTTCATTTTCTACTCACCCCCATGCTGAACAACACTCTGGAGTACTTTTTTGATATCTCAAATGCATCTGGAGATCTGGGAGGCTTCTTGCTGTCTGCTGACATTCAAATAATGGAGGTCTATGGCGCCCGAGGCAGAAAGGTCCACAAAAAACGTGTCAATATTCCTCCATACTGCTCGTCCAATGTATTCCAAGTGTCCTGAGTGGGTAGCGTCCATAATTTACTCGAAACGAAGTCATTTAGAATGTTTTTAGAGCATAAACAGTAGGGTATAGGATTTCCTAAAAGCGCGCGCCTGCGAGTTCACTAGTCTACGGAAACCGCGGCAGACCAAACCAGATGGTCTCCAGAGTGTTGTTCAGCATGGGGGTGAGTAGAAAATGAAGGCTAATCATGTTTTGGGTGTACTATTCCTTTAACTCTGCTTTTAATCTTTTATCCCTTAACCCCACACTGCTCCCCAGGCGCCGCACAATGGCCGCCCACTGCTCCCCAAGGGGAGGGGTTGCATGCAGAGAGGGAATTTCTCCAATGTGAAGTTAAATTATTATTTCCTGTCTAAGCAGAGCAGAATTTAAGTGATTCTGCTTCACATTGACTGATAAAATCCTCAGTTCTTGGTGAAATGATGCTTTGGTTTAAGAGCTGGAGGGTTTTTCTTTTTAAATTTTTTTTTTTTCCACAGCTCCTCCCCCTAACTGACAAACGGGACAAAAAGCGGCTTTTTCTGCTGTTCTAGATGTTGGGGTGAGGAAACCTGCAGCTGATATCTGGTTGTTTTCAGGGATTCTGCAGCCGTGGATGAGGAAGCAGCCAGAGGTTGTTTCCAAGGTCTCCTGGAGCATCTGATGGATCAGTGGAAGCGCTCCGTCCAGGAAAACAACATCCTGCAGGGACCAAACTTCTCAGGGATGAGGGACTGCCTGGAGGTACAGAACAATCTTTTAACAGTCTTATTTGAGATTTGCTGTTGGTAACTTTGCTCTTTGCAGAAGAACTTTCAGGATCAGCCCATGAACTTGGCCGCGCTTCTCTCTGAAAGTCTGAAAGAGGAGAAGATGATCCTGGCCTCAGCCGCTGCGGCTCCGGTGAGCTGAATCCACCGATCCGCTCGTCTCTGAGCTAAACGCCCGAACTAAACCCGTTTGTCCCGCTCAGACCTGCAGCTCTCCTGTCATGACCCCCCCGTGGACAGCCCTGGACAACCAAGTGATGGAGATCAAGCTGCAGATGTCGGTAATGTCTCTCAGTAATTAGTTTTTGGCTGATGGTAGCCCCCCTCCTTCCAGAGTTAGATTAACCAGGCGATGGCTGCCGCCGTCTCTCCTGTTTCTGTGACTCTGGAGGCTGAGATCAACACGTCATTATTGCATTTATTCTTTATTAATGTTCATTTCAAAGCCGATTGGCTTCTTTAAACTTCCAGATGTTTTTGCTCTTTAATATTTACTGAAATCTTAGTCCCGGATGCAGACTGCATCACTTTGCTCTTCAGAGACGTAAATGTTTGTCTACATTCAAGCCAGATTTTAAAGCCAATTTTTCATTTATTAAATGAAATTTTCCTTATTTAAGAGCCTGATTTTCATAAAGTGATGAATATGAAATTTCCCAGGAATCCAGGTATTGACTAAACCTGCGACGGCATAAATCCTTCCTTTTTACACACTGTTCAGGCATGAATTCATTCATCAGCTGGATCAGGAAGCTGGACAGGCTGCTGCTCAGTGTCCATGACGGAGGACATGAAGCTGCCTGTTGCGTAACATCTCACTGATACAGTCAGGAAGCTGGACAGGCTGCTGCTCAGTGTCCATGACGGAGGACATGAAGCTGCCTGTTGCGTAACATCTCACTGATACAGTCAGGAAGCTGGACAGGCTGCTGCTCAGTGTCCATGACGGAGGACATGAAGCTGCCTGTTGCGTAACATCTCACTGATACAGTCAGGAAGCTGGACAGGCTGCTGCTCAGCGTCCATGATGGAGGACATGAAGCTGCCTGTTGCCTAACATCTCACTGATACAGTCAGGAAGCTGGACAGGCTGCTGCTCAGCGTCCATGATGGAGGACATGAAGCTGCCTGTTGCGTAACATCTCACTGATACAGTCAGGAAGCTGGACAGGCTGCTGCTCAGCGTCCATGATGGAGGACATGAAGCTGCCTGTTGCCTAACATCTCACTGATACAGTCAGGAAGCTGGACAGGCTGCTGCTCACAGCAGCACACAGCAGAAAATCTAGAATTGTAAAAGGTTTTCATGTGAGAGAAGGAAAATTCATTTAAACTATTTAATTTATCAAGAACATATTTTGATTTAAAAGCTTTCTTTCTGGTTTCCAGGTTCCTTTATTCTGATTTCTGTAAGTTCTTTTTCCCTCTAGATTCCGTTTGAAGAAGCTGATTTTTCCGTTTCACAAAGAGTTTCCTCTGTTTCTGTTGCCATAGTAACATCCTCCCAGAGCTAACCTGCTTTCCTTCAGTAAACTCGGTGTCCTGTCTCCACTCTCCTTACAGCCAATCACGCTGATTGATTTCCTAATTTAGTCACATTTTGTTGTAGTTTTGTGCATAAAATGCCAAATCCTTCCTTAGGTCCGTTACACACATTAGGTTTTAAAAACAAACATTGCACGTCCATTTGATGAGGAACTTATTAAAGGATAAACGGCATTAATTCACAGAGTGAAAGCTAACCTTTCATATTCAGAAAATTATCTTTATGCAAGCTAACCTTTGACCTTTCAATAATTCCAGACATCCAGACCGTCTCATCCTCACATTAGCAGCATTGCAGACTTTATCAGAACTGGATATCAGTGAGAGAACATTGAGTTAAAGCAGCATCATAGAAAACGGCTCCAGGCTGCATCTCTACCTTCTAGTAGGTTTCTTATGGCTGATAATATGCAGTTTATCCTCTAAAACTGGATGTTTTGTTTATTATTAACCTACTTTGTACTTTTTATCTACTTTATTTATAATGAACCTATTAAAAAAAAAACTACTTTAAAGTTTTACATGAATTCCATGTTTCAGTCACATTGAATGTGCTGATAAAACAACTCAGTTGACAGGATATGAAATTTCTTTGTTTTTGGTTTGTTTAATATGAGCAACAAGCTGAATATTTTATTTATTTTTTCAGAACATGAAGAACTAATGAAATTTTTATATTCCATATAAATAGATTAATTAATTCTGTGGAAAAATATTTAGTTTGACTGAAACAAAAGTTTTCCTAAACGTGTATTCCTGATATCTGGAGAAAAAAACAAAACATTTTTCTTTGTCAAAATGACTTTCAAATAAAATCACATTCTATACGTCTGGAATAAACATTCCAGATGTCTGGAAATTAATTTCAGATTTCCATATTCCTCTTGTTACTAGTCAGAATTTGCATTATTTTAATGAAATTTATTTCAGATATCATAAATAAATATTAATTCAAACTGATAAATGTCAGAGCAGCAAATTAAAATATGTAAACATTTCTAGATGTATAAATTATTTCTAGTATAATTTAGTTTCTTTCTGTAATTCACTTTCTGCAGTAAAAATGTCATTGAGTAACATTTTCGTCTATGAAGACAATTATTTCCTTGACGCACCTTTTTTTTCATGACTAACGAAAACTGACGAGCTAAATGTGGATCTTTGATGATGAAAACCTGACGACTCATGGGTCTGAGGTTTTTGTCGATGACTGAATAAAAATGTCAGCGGGCGGTCGATCAGACATTGTGCTGTAATTAGACCAGCTAAGCGGTATCAGCCGTGCATCTTGTTTGGTCACGCCCCCACCTGGTGTGCAGCGCTGCTCATTCTTCATGACCAGAAATGGATCCTGGCAACAGCAGGTCTGAGAAAATGACTGGGACTGATCCGTTACTGGGTGCTGAACTCTGACTCTGCTCTTCCAGCTGTGCTTGTGCAGAAATACTTTTTTGCGCGGCTTAGCTCAGTCTGCGCTTCACGCTCCACTCTGATGGTTCGCTCTCAGCAGTACGGCTCTTCCTGCTCTCGCTACTTAATTAACTATATGTGGCTGATCATCCTCTGCCAAGCCTACTAAATCCCTTTGTCTAACTATCAAGATTTTTCTTCCAGCTCACAAGAAGTGATGCTAAACATTCTTTAATCTCTACCAAAGGAATCCCTAAATTATAACCAGAGCAAATATTTCATTTCATTTCATTCTGTTTATCTCTGGATAAAGATCCAGATGAAAAGCTGCATAGATCTTTGAATATTTCTCTCTCATTAAAAAATGTTCGGTTTCCTTTAAATATTTCAAAATTTTAGTAGCATATTCATTCATTTTAGGTCTGAGTTGCCATGGCATTACAAGGCAATTATGTAGATTCTCTTTTTATTTTTTTATATATCAAAGGCTGCAGATTTAAATCCACTTTGACCCCTGAGCAGCAGGAACCGAGGGGGAAATTCTCAGAAATAAAACCAAAATTACCAAAGTAGAAAGAATGATTTTCTTCTTTGCTTTTTTTTTTGGAACAATGCAGATTTTATAGATGTGTGTTTAATGCATAATTCATAGTAGGAAGTGTTTGCTTTGGGATGGAAACCTTGGATGTCTAAATCTTTCCTTTATTGGACTATTTGTTAGCTTGTTTATCTGCTATATTAACCAATTGGATCTGTTGAACTAGATCTATTTTCACAGCTTTTCTGAGACACTTTTGTATGTTTATTTTATTGATCTCACAATGGAGAAATTCAGTTTCAGCACTTAACCCCTCCCCTTGGGAAACAGTGGGCTGCCATTGTTCGGCGCCCGGGGAGCAGAGTGGGGTTAAGGGTCTTGTTCAGGGACCCAGAGTGGAGTCTGTGGGGTCGAACTGGGCAGCACAGAGTACTGGTCTAACCACTAGACCAACACTCTCCAAAGTAGGGCATAAATTAATGTAAAAGTTTATTTGAATTCTATAAATCAAAGTTTTCTGCACAACGGCAATATGATCTACATGGCAGCATTCTATGCCCAGCTATTGTAGCATCTAGGATAGAGCTGTCAGTCAAGGAAAGAATGTGGTATTTGTTATTGCAACGTAAAACTGATTAAAACCTTTTAGAGTTTAAGTAGACTAAAACCCACTAAAACATCAGATATCGTAATGACTAAAATGCGACTAAAACTAATAATTTTTGTCCGGAAGACTAAGACTAAATCTAAGACGGCTGCCAGAAACGACACTGTTTAGTAAATCTATTGTTACAGTTCAGTCTAGCAGTGATTTTGATCACTAACTATCTTATTTTAGCGATCTACAAATGGAACAACAGTGTGCTTTTAATAAATATTAAAACGGCTTGCCATAGGCCACCCAATATAAACCTAGGCTTTAACTGGAGCAACAATTGTGTCCGTCCTCCTCTCCTTTGCAGCTGTTTGTCTTTTAAACACATTCTCCTTTTCTTTTCCCCATTAAACTCTAGTTCCAGTGGCTGAAATGGGCACTTTGCTAAAACATGATTTCATCAACAAATAGATTGTCTATTTATTTTTCTGAGGAATGTAGTTTGGGAAGTTTTTACTTATGGCCCAAACTTAATTAAAAATCTCTTGGTGGCCATTTCTGTTCATCAGTGTTTTTTTTTTTTTTTTTTTTTTTTTTTTTTTTTTTTTTTTTTTTTTTTTTTTTTTTTTTAGATACTTTATTAATCCTCAAGGGGAAACTCTGTAGCTCATTGCACACAAGAAGCAGAAAAAGTAAAACGTATAAAAGACATTGAGACAGTAAAAAAATAAAATCTGTTGCTAAACTAGCAGAAAACTAAATAAACTACAGAAACGAAATCAGAAAATCAACATGTTTGATTAAAAGGATTCAGCGGCAGGATGATTTAAGCAGTTTTTTACATTTTCTTTATCTTTTTATATATGATTTTATAATTGTGAAAAAGAGTAACTGCTGTGAATAACTGTTATAAATCTGATGCAGGATCTAAAGAAGGAAGTAAAAATACTGGAAGGTCTGAATGAAGAACTTGACTTCATCCAGAGGACGTGGCAAAGCAAAGGTCAGTCTGAGGCGCTGCAGGAACGCCGTTATCACAGACTTTCAGCTCTGCTTATAGAAATGTTTTCTTTCTTCCACAGTGGAGCAGAACGGCAGACTGGCCCAGACTCAGGCTCAGACTCAGGTGGAACAGGAATGTCTGAAGAGGGCGCTGGTCATTGCAGAAAAAAAGCAGGTCTGAATGCATTCATGTCCGTCTGTGTTCCTGCAGCTGTCTGATCTCATCCCAGATTAAACTCAGTTCTGCTCCTTTTATCACTTCTGATTTCTACAGATATTTTGTTTCTCTCCAACAAAAATTCTAGTTTCATCAAAAAAAAAAAAAGGACCCTCAGATCATGGTGCTGCCACCACCGTGCCTCCCTGGGTGTGGCATTTGCCTTTTCCGTTTCACAAACGGTGACTCTAAAGAAGCGGGCTGTGGACTAAACACAGCTAATAAAAAACGGAAGAGTTTAAGGTTCAGCAAATGTGGAATTTAACAGGAAAGGCGATGGTGATGCGGGGGAGGGGTTTAAGGGCATGCAAGAAATCAAAGGAAGATTTAAAATCAAATTTTTAGCGTTTGGAATAAGAAAAGTAAAGTTTTATTTATTTTTTTCTTCAATGATTGGAAAACAAACTTAGGATCTTCTTAAAAGTCGTGTTTCTCTGAAAGTGCTTTGAAAGGACACTTTAAACCCGTTTATAATAGCTGAAAGTTTGTGATCCAAAAAGGAGAAAATGTTTCTGATGATGTAGCCCAGTTATCAGCCACATAACGGACCAGCAGCCGTGGCTTTAAAATGCTGGGAAACATTTAGCTTGACTGTAGACTTTTAAAAATGGGAGCCAGTTTGTGAAAACTAATGAAGCGAAGGTGTTTTTAGGATTGGCAGCGTTTCCTGAACTAAATGTTTTCCTGTGAAACTAGAACCACCATGTTGCTAAATATAGGATCATCATTATCAGACATCCTCCCTTAAAAATGGCTAAAGCCCGACTCAGATCCCAATTGGGGAGCAGTGGGCTGCCATTGTGCGACACCCGGGGAGCAGTGTTGGGTAAAGGGTCTTGCTCAGGGACCCAGAGTGGAGGCTGTGGGGATTGAACCGGGGGAGCAGGGACTTGGAGTCCCCTCATTAGCTCTTAACTATATATATTTTTTACATCCATCTATGTTTTTTCAGCCTTTTTATAAACTCAGATGCTGGTCAGAACGCTCTGATGCTTCTGGGTTAGTGTGGAATTATTAACCATGCTGAACCGTCTCAGGGGAAAATGGAAACACTGGTATCAACCAAAGTCCGTCTGTAGAGCGCAGACATGCAGATGGACTGGATCTTTGAAACATTTAGTTCTCCGCTGCCAACAGCTCTCAAGTTTCCAGAAATGTTTAATTTGCTGCAAAATTATTATATAAGTATTATTAAGAAAGCTTGTTTTTATTAATGACCTTAAATTCTAAATAGTGAAGAATGTAACTGACTGGTTAGTTTAGCTTACAGGTTACTTCATGTTAACAGGCTCTGTGCCGCGTTGCTCATAGGAGATGTTGCCTCCGTCCCACAGGTTGTGCTGCAACAGTTGCTGAACATGTTAAACCAGGCGTCTCACGTCCAGATGAGTCTCACCGGCGTGGAGCTTCCTGAGTGGAAGCGCAGGCAGCAGCTGGCCAGCATCGGAAGTCCAGAGAACACCAGTCTGGAGCTCCTCCAGAAATGGTGAGCAGGACATTCTGGTCTCCTTGTTGGACACAGAGGACGGAGAATCTTCTGGAAGCTTGTAGTTTCTGTTCTGCATGCAGGTTTACAGCTGTTACCGAGGTTCTTCTTGGAGTGCGTGAACAGCTGCAGAAGATGCTTGAGATGAACCATAAGTACAGTAGACCAGACTCCATGGCAGATTCCATCACACAAATGGATCAGTTCACCCTGAGTTTGATCAGGAACCTTCTAACCAGGTGAGCCTTCCTCTGTCCTCCTTGGCGGCGCAGTGCTCAGCAGCGTGTTTATGGGCTCTGCTTGTGCCGTGCAGCGCACTGGTGGTAGAGAAGCAGCCCGTCATGCAGAACTTACCTCATCGACCTCTGATCCTGAAGACCGGCGTTCGCTTCAAGGTGACAGTCAGGTAAGGCAGAGCTTGGATCTAAAGCAAGACCGACTCTGTGTTTCCACTGGTTAAAGGGGATTATCAGAAATGATGTTGGGTTCTCATCCAGCCGGGTTCTTTTACGAGGTTTGGCTGGACCCTCTCTCTCAGTGAGGCATGTGTCCAGGAAATGGTTGGTCTTAGTCATTCGGTGCTTTCAGGAGCGCCCCCTGGAGGTCAGTAGGGAGGAAATGAAACCAAAGTTTTGAATCCTAGAAGGTTCTATAGGAGCGGAGCCCTGATGACGCCATATGTAGCTTCTGATTGGTCCTCCAGCATGTCACAGGTGTGACTCTTAGTATAATTACTTGAAAAGCGCATGCAAATCATTATTCGGAGCTCCAGCTAAATCTCGATAATTTTTTTATTTTTTTTGTTAGCCTGTTTGATGAAAAGTTGTCCCCCTTCTCATCATTTCTCAACGCTTCTGTTGGATTTTTCATCTGAGATACAATCAGGAAATAGAAACCAAGCATAAACTGTTTGTTCTGCAATAAACTGTAAATTAACTAAAAAAGAAAAAAACCTCAGTCTGTTGATCTTTTCCCTTTTTCCTGTCAGGTTCTTGGCAAACCTTCTTGCTTTTAAGGATTTGCTGAAGGTCAAGCCTGTTTTTGACAAGTAAGTCAAACTATTCACTTCAAAACAATTTTATTTTCAGATCTTCTATTTGACCCTAAATGAGCCTTTTTTATTCTGAACCAGGGATGTTAAAGAAGAACAGACTGTCAGTTGGTAAGAAGGAAATCACATGGATAACATGTTTTATAGCGAACTGAGGGAATTAAGTCTTTTTTTTATTGTTTGGAGGTTTCGCCTGTTTGACTTCACTGTTGACCACAGTAAAGTTCTGGATGTGGACGGACCCGACGGAGCGCTGAGGGCTGCCTTCGAGCACATGGTTGGAAAAATAAAAGTAAATCGCATCAGCAGTCGGTGAGAAATGATGACTCATCCGTTTCTGTTTTCAGTCCCTGAAGGAGAAAAAATCCCGGACTAAAGGCTCCTGTGAGGTGAGAGACTGGATGTGTTTGATAGCTGCAGCTCCTGGTCCAATACTTAAGCTGGTGGTTTAATGTTGATGCAATGTTGCAGCCATGGATTGGATCATACAGGAGCCAAACTCTCTATCCAAGACTATTTTCCTTTGGGACATTCAAATCTAACTAAATTCCTTTAGTGAGAAGCTGTGGAAATCTATAAGTCTGACTGAGAACCACATGGATGAAGAGAAAGCTGAGGCCTGTCCACATGCTACCTTTAACCTCCTTATCTACAATCTTTAATATTTAAAGTTTCCTTTGTGGTGGGCGTGTTTTGGTGGCACACGACCCATGTATGGAGGCCTTGGTCCTTGGCGTGGGCAACCTGGGTTCTGGGGTCCTTTCCTGCACGTCTCTGCCCCGCTCTCATGCCCCCCCCCCCCTCCTGTCAGCCTATTGTCCATAAAAAAGAGCCACTATTGTTATAAAAACTAAAAAAAAAAGAAGTTTGTTTTATTGGTAAATGGCTCCTGGTCTGACTCCACATTACAACCAACTCAACATGTTGAATCAAAATGTAGGATAAAGAAAATTATGTTGACTAAGAATGAAGCCAGAAAGTTTGAGTGGATTTAAAACGCTGTTTTAATTTAGCCCTAGAAAGACTTGTGGTGGTCCCTCCATCACAGACATTGCCTGCTCTCAGGGTTTCCTCTGGTCCTCTGCGTCATCCTTTTACCTCCAGCAGTTAGCCTTCAGAGGATAGCCTCTGCTGGCTGTCATCTCTTCCTGCTAGTAAACCGCGACTCAACATGTTTGACATCATCGGCCTGGTGTTGGACATTCTTCCAGTTCCTGTTCTGTTGTGGTTCTGTTATTCCCTGAAAGAGAGCCATCATCATTAGACAAATGGCAAACCTTAGTGGGCTGATGCCAAACGCTTTGGTGCCGGTTTAGGATTTCTGATGTTTAAACCTTTAGCGATTATAGCTTTATGAACAATAGAGAAAACACGTGAGCATGGTGCACCATCGGCCTCCTCGTCGTACACAACCAGAAGCACATGAAATGATTACAGTTTTATGACGAATCTGTTCTGGTCCAACCAGAGTCCTCTGACGGTCACAGAGGAGCTCCACATCATTCGCTTTGTGGCTGTTCTGCATTACGCTGGAGAAAAGTTCAACATCGAGGTGAGTGATGGTGGAAAGGTTTCTCTCTCTCATGGTGAGAAGACTTTGGATTGGGCGGGGTAGCGGATTATTTGACTGTTATGGCTTTGATATTGGACAGGCCAGCTCCCTGCCTGTGGTCATCGTCTCCAGTTCCAACCAGGTCCCCAGTGCCTGGGCCGCAATCATGTGGTCCAACATGGTGTCCACTGGTGAACCGATGGTAAGAAGTGCTCCTTAATCGGAGTGAGAAAACGCATGCAGCCTCTGCTGAAGCAAACCTGTTAAAGAGTGGACGTTATGTCCTGTAGAACCTGTCGCTGTTTCTGGATCCTCCTGCGCTCACCTGGCAGCAGGTGGCACAGCTTCTGAACTGGCAGTTCTTATCTGTGGGCCGGCGGGGGCTGGATCAGGACCAGCTCTCAGTTCTTCAAGACAAAATCATGGGTAGGTGGACGTCTTGGACCATAAGTTGTTAAATTCTCTTTAACAAGTTTTAGAAATGAATGCAATGGTTTGGATCTGGAACCAGTTCGAACTCTGTTTAATTATCTGCTAAGCTAATTAGCTACTTCACATAAAAATTCAATTGAAGGCTAATCTATCTTAATCTCAGATAATCCTGAAGGTCTGCTGTGCTGGAGCAAGTTCTCCAAGGTAAGTTTCAGAACTATTTATCTGTTATTACAACTTCATGCATCTCAGGATTTTGAAGGAGCTTCAACGTCCCCCATGGGTGCTGATTTCTTAAGCCTCCCAGTGTTTCTATCCTGTAGAGCTCTCTGGTACTTTCTTCAAGGGTTGATTTTTAGAAATTATCAATCTTCATGGTGAAGTAGAGGAGTCTAATGCTACGTTCACACCGAACACGCTTTGAGCAGCAAAAGCAGTTGGTTTACATTTAAAGTCTATGGTTGACACACATCAACGAACATCAATTTCAATTCAGTTTATTTATATAGCGCCAATTCACAACTCATTATTCTGATTTAACGTCATTGATCTCACACTGGAGAAATTCACCTCTGCATTTAACCCGTCCCCTTGTAGAGCAGTGGGGGCTCCTTGAACCCTAGTGGGCCTCAGCAGATGGCCGCTCACGCTGAGCCTGGTTCTGCTGGGGGTTTCTTCCTGTTCAAAGGGAGTTTTTCCTCTCCACTGTCGCTACAAGCATGCTTAGTGTGAGGGATTGCTGAAGAGTCAATGAGTCGATGCAGTCAGCTGGTTTTCCTTAGATAGAAAAAAATTAACCAATCTCACTGGATGATCTGGTTGATCTGAATCTATAAAATGAGTTGATGTGAATTAGATCTATAGAAATAAACTTATTAGAATGGAATTGTCAGGCCGTCCCAAATAAACGTTGTCAGCAGACCTCAGGGTGTTTTGTTTCCGCCAACCAATGACCACAGATTGGTAAAAAAAAAAAGTAGGTTTAATTCAGTGTTTATTTAGCTGAGTTATGGTTGGAGATGCATCATGTTCATTCAGGAGATTCATCTCCTGAATGAACATGATGTGATGGTAGGAATTTGCTTGCACTGCGTCATTGACAGGCATTTAATTTACCTTCATCATTCAGGTTTAACACATAAAAACTCAAACCCATGAAGAAGCATCAGGTTCAAAGAATCGTCAGAGTCACATTAAATGTTCAAAGTTAGCCAGTCTGAACATTTGTCCAAATCTAATATCATGGCTTATGGTCTATCGCCCGTCCCCGTTGGCATGAAATATTCCGTTACATCAATGATTCCTTTTTCATGGCGTAGGATGAAAGTGTCTGGATGTGGATCGATGGGATCCTGGATCTCATCAAGAAATATCTGTCCGAGCTTTGGCAGAACGGGTAAGATCTCTCCGGTTCTGGTTACAATGCATCTCTTCCTGCTTTTATTCACCAATATTCATTTGAGGATATTTATTTTTCCAGCTATATTATGGGTTTCGTGAGCAAACGGAGAACAAGTTCCTTGTTGCTGAAAAAACCAACCGGGACATTTCTGATCCGGTTCAGTGAAAGCATCAGAGATGGAGCCATAACCTTCAGCTGGGTGGACCATTCCTCTGGAGGTTTGTTTTAGGCGTTAAGGGACGCTTCCAGAAGCCCACTTTCACAGGGACCAAATGATCTTGCAGAGACCAAGAGAAGAGGGTCCTTTAAGAGTCAGCATTTCTTCATCATTCAGCTTATATTGCTTCTCTGCAGAGTCACATGTCCATGCTGTGCAGCCCTATACCAAGAAGGAGCTGTCTGTGTTGTCTCTGCCCGATGCAATCAACCACTACACCCTGACCACCCAGGGAAGGAGTTCCAACCCCCTCCTCTATCTCTACCCCGACATCCCCAAAGACTCAGCCTTTGGAAACTACTACCAGGTCTCTGGTAAGGAATCATGCCTAACATTGTGCTCTTTTATTTGCAATGATTGGTGATGATGCAACAACGAGGAGTTTTTTTCCCCCTCTTTAAATGGTATAAAATCCATTCAATTATTCACTCACTGTTTTCTTTTGCTACGTTGAACACTGATTTTAAACAAGAATATGAGGGAGTGAAGTCGGTAGGCCGACTCACCCGACTCCAAACGGATCATTGCTGAAACAGGGATGATCAATGGTCTTAATGAAATCCAAACGTCACATTTTGCATTATCAAATTGTAGTGGGAAAAAAGTATTAATCTATTCATTCTAGTTAAATAAACGGAGATAGATGGATTTCACTCAGTCGGCACTTTATTCATATCTTTGCAAAGAGAGAACAGTTCATCATGCAGCCCTAATGGCAGCATTCTGCTCTGTTCTGATCTGAGCAGCGTTCGTTCCTCCTTACTGACAATAATGGAAAGCAGTCAGAGTCAAAACTAATTACAGACACTTTGGTTAAACAGTAACAGGTTATGAATAAACCTGGAGAAAGAATTTGGTTTGTTATGGAAGAAGCTCTGTCTGGTCTACAAACACCATCCTGCAGAGAAATGTGCGGCCTTCAAGGTGAAACTGGGTGAAAACTTTTAGTGAGTAAATAAGATAAATTAATATATAATAGAATAAAAATTTAAATTTGCCGACAACAGACAATCCTTTCTATTATAAAAGGATATCCTTGTGTGATCGATAATAAAAAGGAAAATTAATGAATATATGTAAAGAAAGCTAAAAACTAAGAAAACAAAATAAAAAAATATATCAAAAATGCACTCCTACATTCAAGTCAGTGGAAAATGTTAAATGATTATAATAGATGGAAAAGATTGATAGCTCAAATATGTAACCAATAAATGGAGCCCTGGAATCACATCCTAGTTGGCAAAAACATTTAACTGTTTTCCCCATGAACTTTTTAATGGTAAAAGCTCAATTTGCTGAACATTTTAAATTATAGTTATCAGTTACTGTTTTTGTTTCCCTGGAAAGAGACGGGCAAAAAAAAAAACTCACTACACTGTTCAGAATTATTAGGCAAGGTTTATTTTTGAGGATTATTTTTATTATTGGGCTTCAATTGTTCTCAATCAACCCAAAATACTCCTTAATGTCAAAGTTTCATATGTTGGAAGTTTTTTTCTTTTTCTTTTTTTTTATGATTTGGCCATTTTATGAGGATGTCTGTGTGCAGGTAAATATTACTGTGCAGAATTATTAGGAAACATAATAAAAAAACCAAATGTATACCCAGCTCACTTATTTATTTTCACTTGGTAAACCAATATAAAAACTCAATATTCAGAAACATTTGCGACATTTAGAAACAAAAAAACAACAAATCAGTGACCAATCTATCCTCCTTTCTCCACCATGACGCTCTAAATCCTTCCATCCATAGATTCTGTCAGAGTCTTGATCTGTGTGAGATCCTCATGGCGTGCAGCAGCCTCCACAGCCTCCCAGACACTGTTTTCCCTCCCTGTAGATCTCACCTTTCACGAAGGACCACAGGTTCTCCATGGGGTTCAGATCAGGTGACCAAGGCGGCCATGTCATTATTTTTTCTCCTTTTAGCCTTTTTCTGGCCGCCATGCTGTGGTGTATTCTGATGCGTGTGACGGAGCATCGTCCTGCAGGAATATCAGGTTTTTCTGGAATGATGGCGACTTCTTCTTGTTCCGCTGTTTGAAGAAGGTGTCTTCCAGAAACTGGCAGTAGATCTGGAAGTTGATCTTGACTTCATCATCAACCTGAAAAGGTCCCACAGGCTCATCTTTGATGATAGCAGCCCATAGCATTACCCCACCTCCACCTTGCTGGCATCTGAGTGGATAAGGAACTTGCTGCCCTTTACTGATCCAGCCTGGTGTCCATCCATCCATCTGGCCCATCTAGACTCTCTCTCATTCCATCAGAGCAAAACACCTTGGAGGAATCAGTCTGCAGAGATTTCTTGTTCCAATCTTGACATTTTGTCTCGTGCGTCTTGTTCGAAGGTGGCCTTTTTTCAGCTTTACTTACCTTGGCCAGGTCCCTGAGGATTGAGCACCTTGTGCTTCTCGGCGCTCCAGACATGTTGCAGCTCTGAAATATGGCCCAACTGGTGGCTAATGGCTTCCTGGCAGCTTCACGCTTCATCCTTCTCAATTCGTGGCGAGTTATTTTGCGTCGTCTTTTCTCAACACGCTTCTTGCGTCCCTGTTGGCTATTTGCCATGAACCACCTGATTTCACGATGATCCCGCTTCAACAGCTCGGTTATTTCCAAACTGCTGCACCCCTCTCAAAGACATCTGACAATTTTTGACTTTTCAGAATCTGTCAAATATCTTTTCTCACCCATTCTGCCAAAGGAAAGGAAGTTGCCCAATAAGCACACCTTATATAGGATGTTGTCATTAGGCCACACCCCATCCCACTACAGAGATGCACACCACCTGATTTACTGAACTGGTAGTTGGCTTCCAGGCCTCTACAGCGGAGTTGGACATGTATGAAAAGGATGATGTGGTCGAAATACTAATTTTCCTAATAATTCTTCACACAGTGTACAAGGTATCAATCAAATGATTAACCTGAGCTAAACACAACAGTCAAAAAAAAAAAAAATCAATCTCAATGCAAAATGTTAAAATCATAAAACAAAGATGTTTCACACAGATTGAGTTCAGCTCTTCAGAATCAGGGTCAGTCAAAGCACACATAGAAAAGTTGGAGGATTTAATCTCAGCGCTCCTCTTTCCCAACGGTAGCTGATATGACCCGATCATCAGAGTTCATTCTAATCCAGAAATCTCTGCCAATACTGACCATCAGCCATCAGCTGCTCATCTAACACTTGGACTTTCTTTTGTAGTAAGAAACATTTAGTTTTAACACTTTAAGTGATGAAAATCACTGATTTAATAGTTCATAAGTTTTAAGTGATATACATGTGTGTTAATATATGGAGGAAAGGATAATAAAATTCTCTCAGATTTTCATTCAGAAAAATTTAAATCAAATCAAGATTAAACAATAGATTTTATTCTATTGGATTATATTATCCATTCTTTTTCTTCTATTAGGTGTTATTTTGTTTACATTTTTAACACTGCACAGTCAAATTAACCATCACCTTTACTGTCTTAGTCAGAACCTCAGACATTCATGGCGCAGGGAGAAAAATCAACATACTACCAAATCATTAAGAGATAAAGCTAATCTCTCTGAGTGGTTGTTGTGGGAATAGAAAATTGGGCTTGCTTCAATCTAACTCTATAGTTATACTGCTATATGCTTAGACTGAGAGGTCAGTGAGTCGATGCAATCAGCTGGTTTTCCTCAGAAAGCTTTAACCAATCTGACTGTATTATCTCTGTGCCTTTACATGACATGTTTTGTGAATTGGTGCTTTATAAATTTAATTGGCTGACCGTGCCCATCCCCCAAGACACAGTGAACATGTGACAAGCTTACTTTGAATTTTTTTTTATCCTCGTAGGGCTACCTATAGCTCAGGTAGCCCACCACTGGCCACCCATCCCTTGAGAGCTGCCTGGCTGACTTTAAGGTATTTAGTTTGAGCTCATGACAACTCAAAGTCCCTTGACCTGTCCCTCATCTTTCTATAGTCATGGCCAAAAGTATTGAGAATGACACAATATTATATTTTCACATGATCTGCTGCCCTCTGGTTTTCATGTGTGTACGTCAGATGCTGTCATCACATACAGAAATAAAATTGCAATCATGAGTAACAGAATCAGTTAATGCAGCAAGTCAATATTTGCAGTGTTGACCCCTCTTCTTCAGGACATTTCTCCCTGTCTGCTCTCAACTTCTGGACCAAATCCTGACTGATAGCATCCGTTCTGCACAATCAATGCTTGCATTTGCTCAGAAGGTTTTCGTTTGTCCGCCGTCTCTTGATGATTGACCACAAGTTTTCAATAAGTTTAAGATCAGGGGAGTTTCCAGGCCACGGACCCAACATCTCTCTGTTTGGTTCCCTGAGCCAGTTAGATATCAGCTTTGCTTTATGGCGAGGTGCTCCATCATGCTGCAAAAGGCATTGTTCATCATGATGAATGGTTTCAGGATGCTTTACAGTCGGCATGAGACCAGACTGGTGCTAGCGCTCACCTGGTCTTCTCCCAACAAGCTGTTTTCCAGATGTCCCAAACAATGGGAAAGGGGATTGATGAGAGGAAATGACTTTCCCCCAGTCCTCAGCAGTCCACTCCCTGTACCTTTAGCAGAATATCAGTCTGTCCCTGATGGTTTTCCTGGAGAGAAGTGGCTTCTTTGCTGCCCTCCTTGAGACCAGGCCTTGCTCCAAGAGTCTCCGCCTCACAGTGCATGCAGATGCACTCACACCTGCCTGCTGCCATTCCTGAGCAAGCTCTGCACCGCTGGTAGCCCGATCCCGCAGCTGAAACACTTTAAAGAGACCATCCACACCTGTGTTAATGGAGCAATCACTGAAACCATGTTAGCTGGTCCTTTGAAGGCAGGGCTGTAATGACGTTGAAATGTGTTTTGGGGGATAAAGTTCATTTTCTTGGCAAATATTGACTTTGCAATTAATTTCTGTTACGCTGATCACTCTTTAGAATATTTTGGAGTAAGTGCAAATTGCCGTTATAAAAACTGAAGCAGTAGACTTAATAACATTTGAATTATACTCAAAACGTTTGGCCATGGCTGTACACTGGGCCTCATGCAGCAACATTTTGTTGTTCTTTTTATAAATTTCTCTTCCCAAAGGCAATTGGCTAAATGGTCCAATAAAACCAAAGTTGTATAAAAAAAAATATGAAAATCCAAAAAGGGGAAAACTAAGTGGTGGAGATAATCTAAGAAAGTCCCATGGACATTCAAGCTGCTTGTTCATTTTTAAACTAAAGGTTTTTGTGCTAATAGACTGAAATCGGTTTTATTGAAGAAAATTTCAAATCATGTTAAATGCTTATAAATGAAATCTAAAAAGTTTTCAGGCTCCAGTAATTGCTTGTTTGTCTGTTTAGGACCTTCTACAACCAATAATAACATTAAGGAATACGTCCAGAGGATTCTTGCTGTTGTTTCTATGTAAGTTTCTGCTAAAGTTAAGCCATTTCCATCACAAAGTTTTGATATTTTCTTTTGCTGAAGTAAGGAAATAATGTATTTTCTGAACAGCAACCCAACTCCTCCTCCATCACCACCCAGAGATGTGCCACCAATGGACATTGAAAGTTTGGAGCCAAGCGATTGGTTGGAGGACATTTTATCTTGCCTAATGGAGCCAGAATTCCTTCAACTGGCCCCTCAGGAAGACTTCCAGCATGTTGATTTCCCCCTCAGTGACAGTATGGATCACTGAATCCATCATCACAATAAATCACGGCAGATCTCACAGATTAGTGAATGCAAAAAATATAAATGGCTTTTGTTGTAACTCAGTGGCCAATTTCAGGTGTCAGGGAGCAGTAGGAAAGCCCAGACAATTTCCTCTCCTGGTAGAATCCCAAGTAGAAATTGGCCTCCATTCCACATTCTGACTCCTCTGAACATCACTCTGTTCTCCGTATGTTATCTCCATAAGTGTTCTCCATATGTAGTCTCTGTTGTTCTCCATAAAAATCCAGAGCGTGTCCATTTTTTGCTCCGGTCTGTTGGAATCCGACCAGGTCAAGCTCTACAACAGCGATCGCAAGAAACTGGACCAATAACGTTAATATCTGGTTTGTAGAACTTGGGAAGGACATATCGGTTATTACAAATTAAAACCAAATTTTCATATATTCCCTCAAAAGAACAGTTTTAATTTAATGCAAACTACTAATACTTTAACATTCAGGAAGAAGATCTGTCTTCAAATCCAGTCACAACACAGAGCAACTTCTTATTGCATACACGCAACACTGACTTTGGAAGTTAAGAGTATGAATGAATTTTGTAGAATTTTGGGCATCCATATTACACAGACCAAAAACAAGTTTGGGCAGAAATTGCCCATGAGCTGGATGCCGACGCAAAGTTTTTATGCTGTCATACTAAATTAGGCTTCCATTACCTTGTATTAAGCTCCTATTAACAAATGATGAAGGAATATCACACATGCTCTCTTCAACCCCCAAGGAACTCAGTGGATCAAGACAGAACTGCAGATGCTATAGGTGTGGCTTGGTGGAGGTGCTTTGGAACTGCGCACAGAAGTTATGGAGGAAATGGAATTTCGGGCTTACCCTTGCTTCCCAGGATTTAGAAGCTGCTCACTGCTCCTTAAGGCAGTGTTTTTCAACCTTGGTCCTCCAGGGACACATTACTGCATGTTTTAGATGGTTCTCATCTGATTCAGATTGCTGCAGATCAGTAAACCCTAATAAAATGCTATCAATTGATATCAGATCTGTGAAAGATGGGGAAACATCCAAGACATGCTGAATAGTGTGCCTTAAGGACCGTGGTTAAAAAAACAGCTTTAACGGATGGATTAAATCCAGCTTTCTTAACGCTGTCCTAAGGGCCCATTGTCTTCCAGTTTTTTTTTTTTTTTAGGTGTTTCACTGTCTTCGCACCCCTGATCTGAATGAAAAGGTGACAAACTGGCTTTTGCAGCATTTGATGGCTGCCAAGGAGGTAATGCTATCATTTGGATCAGGTTTGCTTAAGTAAAAGGACATGGTGCCCTGAGGACCAGGGTTAAGAAATCATGGATTAGATGTAGCCTAATAAGGTGATGTAATATACAATCCTAATTCATTCTCAATAAACAAATCTTAGTTTGTGTGTCACATAAGGGTTGGGTTTGATCCAAGTGTTTGGTTGCATCAAATGTATTGAAGAAAACAGCATTACAAAGAACATCACCATCCGTGCCAACCAACGACCCTGGATGAATGGAGAGGTTTGGAAATCGCTAAAAGAACGGAACTCAGCTTTGGTGAGTCCGGTGACAGAGGCTCAGAGGACAGCGAGAGCCAACTTGAACTGTGCCATCAGATCAGCGAAGCAGAACCTCAGCCAGAAGATCAGACTAACTGTCCTGGTAAGGTGATAAAAGGATAATTACATTAAGAAGTTGAAAGGAATTAGTCAGGAATTGAGTCAACTGCCTTTAGTACCAGTAATAATCTTGGTTTATCTTTTTAAGTATAAACACTGAGTATTATTGAAAGATTAGGTTTGGGAATGGATCCCACTAATATTAGGGTTAGCAGCTAACCGTCCTGGTAAGTTGATAAGTACTATGAGTGAATATTAATAGATGAGGTTTAGGTGTGGATTCCACTAATATTAGGGTTAAGATTAATTGAAGATAATCATATTAATATTAATTTTAGATCAATGGAGGGAGCAGAGTCAGGGTAGACCGCCCTGGAATGAGCTAAAAGTCAAACCTCGGCGTTCTGGCATGTAAACTCCAACTCCTCCACTCCTTGCAGGTGTAAACCGGGGGAAGAGAGGCAGGTAGAGGGAAACGTTTCATAAATCTACACTTTTGAGGACTAATATTGGTATGAATGTATTATTTAAGGATAAAGATTTCATAACTTCAGTGTTGTTGATAAACCCCTTTATTAAAATGTAAGGCTAGGTGTATAGGGATTTTAGAGGAATTAGAGTCAAGAATTAAGTAAACTGCCTTTATGATAGGTGCAGGACTAGTGTCACAATGAAATCCCCCTAATTCAGTCTAATTACCGAAAAAGGTATGGTTCAGAGAGTCAAAGGCAAGGCATGGGCCAACGCATGTCAAGAGCCTATCTTCATTTGTTTAGCCCAGTTAGGAGGTACATAGTAAAAATATTCTAAAAGAAATAGTTATTGTTGTATGGTTAGGGTTAGGTTAGGTGTAGGAATAGTATCACGGTGACATCCCCCTAAATCAGTCCATTGACCGAAAAAGGTATGGTTCAGGGAGTCAAAGGCAAGGCACTGGCCGACGCATGTCACTCAAGAGCTCATCTCCTTTTGTTTAGCCCTGATAGGAAGTACACAGTAAAGACATTCTAAAAAAAATAAAAATTGTTGGATGGAGTTTCAGAATAGGATAGCACAGAGGCCCTTTAACAGGTCTCCATACCATCCAACTTACTCCATATGATTAAAGTCAGAGTACATGGTTAAGGTAAGCGTTGATCATTTAGTAGAAGTAGAGAGAATATAATATAAAATATTCCAAACTAAATAAAGGAAATTTTTGGAACACATCATCAGTAGTGGACCTCAAGATCATCGGGTGTTTCGGCCATTATCACTAGACACCCTCACTCGAGGACGGCCCAGACAGGGATGATCAGTCCCTGCTGTGTGTCCAATAGCCAATTAGGTTTAACGAAATCTAAAACTAAGTCAATCACAGCATAAAAGAAGAAAAAGACTACGAAAGGTCAAAGGTCAAGGTCCGGTTTGGGACCCATTACCTTAATGTAAAATATACTATGAAAGGTCAAAGGTCAAGGTCCGATTTGGGATCCATTAACTAATGTAAAATATAAAAGGCAAGGTCGATATGACCATCAAGATGAGACCATCAAGATCAATACCCAATTGGGCATTGTAAAAGAACCTACGTCCCGTTGCATCCTCGGCCTAGTCACCTAAGCTGGACTAGGGGATGTAAAACTACAATCTAGGTCCCATTGCATCCACGGCCTAGTCACCTAAGCTGGACTAGGGGATGTGAAATTTGGAAAAGATGACAATTTGAAGGAGTCCAATTGTTGTTTAAAGGGGAAGAAAAATCAAATTAAACGTGTCTGGTGTATGTGGGCTGTGCGTTGCCGGGGCTAACCCCCATAGAAGACTGGGCTGCGATTAAGGTCCTAAGCCCTGGACCGCCACACCTTGTGTGCATTGTTCCAATAGGGGAACTCAAGTGGGCCGCATACTTACCTTCTTACCCAGTACCCTTCGGTAAACAGGTCGGTTTTTGACACCGTTAGGTTACTCCGACCTGCCCAGGTAAGACTGAAGATCTGGGTCCTGTGTCGTCTGCGCCAAGGGGGTGGAGGGGAGGAGTGGGGACTTGATCCTGTGCTCCTTACACCGCACAGCTCTAGGGTCAAGGATGTCATGCCCAGGTCACACACAAAAAAAGTTTGAGGCCAAGGCATGACATAAAAGCTAATTTAAATTGGGGCTGGGGTCATCTATCGGTATTACTGCTTCACTCATGGTTTTGTTTTAAGGTCAGGACAAAGGTCACTTGAAAATAAGTTTTATGGGAACTACAGTAGGGGAATTAGTAGATAGCATTAAATAAAACAAGTATGGTGACAAAAATTAAAGGTTTTAAGTCCAAATTAAGTCTAAAAATTACCCATAAGGCACTGCAGGAAAACAGGGTATTACAAGTGAATATTAAGGTGAATTATTAAACGAATTCTATGCTTTTTGTGATTGGAGGCCTGGATAGGATAAATAGGGATCCAAGGTTTTTCTTTTAGGGTTAGGGCCGGGGCCCCTAAGACCTTAGGGTTAGTATAAAGGTCTGGATGGGTGTAAATAATTAGTAATGATTATATAAAGTGTCCCAAAAGGGGTTAGGGTTAGGGCCTGGATGTCATAAGACCTAGGGGTTAAAAAACCGTTTCGCATAAGGATGAATTGGAGCCAATAAAGGTGTGGAAGGTCTGAATTAGGGTTAGGGCCAGGGCCCCTAGGACCTTAGGGTTAGTTTAAGAGGTCTGGATAGGTGTTAACTCTTAGTATAAATTAATTGAGGGTTAGGTACAGAGGGCTACTCTCTCGATGACTCTCCCCGCCTCATCCGACGACTGGGCGGTTGCAATGGAGAGTCAAAGGCAGTGCACGGGCCGACGCTCGTCATTAGGGTTAGGGTTAGGGATAAGGGATGAAAACCAGAAAAATGGATCGGGCACTCTCAATAACTCAAAAAGTAAAAGAGGTATGGGAACCATACTGGGCTAGGGTTAGGATTAAAGGGGTATGCCCTTCTCCCAAAGGAGAAGGAAGGTGCCCTGTCCATCCATCCCCCAGGCCCCCCGTACCCTCCCCAAGTCTGCTTGTTGCGGTTACGGTTGCGACCGTACTGCACCTTCGTCCAACCTTCCTCCATCGGTTGGGAATTTCTTTCTTTTTTGTATGTATTTTAATTTATATTTTAATATTTTTAATTTTTGTTAATAAAAAAATAAAGAAAATCCCTTTAAAAAAAACAAATAAACAACTAAGGAAGGTGTGCCAAATAAAAATCTAAATAAACGCGACGTTTCGACCTGATATGGTCTTCCTCAGGCTAACGGCACACAAAAAACTGTAAGGATTGGTCCTCTGAATGGCACGATGTGTTCCCATCAAGTGTCAGGTAGAGAATGAGCTCCTGTGGCTCTCACCCCTATTTATACCTATTGTGTTTCTTGTTGTTACATTGGTTAGTGAAGTAGTTATTTCAGTGTAATTTATTGCAGCTTTTCTTTTTGTCATTTG